TGTTGAAAAGAATTCTGGGGATGTAAATCCTGCTGATTTTGGAACAAAAATTGTCCCTACTGATAAATTTCTTTTTTGCAGGAGCTTCTTCAAAATCTTTGAGGTACCCTTATAAAAGGTTCAAAGATGGGTTGATGATGAATGGGGAAATTTATGTCTCTCAGATCCTGTGAAACTAGCGATGATTATACTCCTGTTGGAGTTCTTTGAATGAGAATGAGTCTTAGGAGGGCAAATTGTTGGATTATTATTTAATTCTAATTCTCTCATATGTTCCTTTTGTTATAATTAAGATAGGATGACAAAGTAATTGGACTTGTATTTATTTCTTCTTGGGTTATCTCTTGTTTGGGTTGGTTTTTTGGTGCATTGGGCTTGATTTGTTTAACCTCTTGTTGTTGGGCCTATTTTTGGGTCCGGCCTCTTGGTTAGTTCATTTGCCCGGATGAAAGGTTATTTATATAACCTTCGTCCTCCCCTTCTGCACTGTTCCGCTGCATACACACCAAACCCTAGAGAGAGAATTCTGAGAGAGAGAGAGTCTGAGATCTGTTATCTCCTGCGATTGAAGCCATCTTCTTGTGATGATTGCGAGGAAGGAGGAAGCCTGTCCTTTGAAGTAGTCTGCTAGTTCATCCGGGAGTCTTCTTCTGCCCTTCGATTCCTGACTGGATTCGAACTTGGTTAACTCTGAACTTTCTCTTGTTGTTTATCGTTATGAGTTGTATGTCTGTATATTGCATGTTGATACCGGTCGTAGTCTAATTACTTTGCAACCATCTTGAGTGTAAAAAACCTTTTCTGAGCTAGTGGGATCTGCCTGGGACCGGGTTTCCCCTATTGAAACCCCGCAGATTAGGAAGTTCTCTTCTGAACCGCGTCATCATATCGTGTGTCTTTACTTTTCTGTATTGCTTTGTTTGATTGTTCGAATTGTTGAGATCCGATTTGTGTGACTGTGACTTGGTCTAGTTTGAGAACACAAACAGAACTAAATCAAACAGTAAGCTTTTTACCAAACAACTATCATCTTATCCTTTTAAGATCTTTTCAATCACTACAAGTCAACCGATACTTGTGGAACGTACATATGCGGAGGTCCAGGCGTCTAGCCCCGTCCATGTATTATTCACTATGTAGAATGAAAAATACGGAGTAGGTTAACAAATACGTACGTATTAGTATTCAGAAATGAGAACACCCCATCCTAATCTTCTTCCAAATTTAAGACCAGTAAGTCCATCCATTCCTACCGAATCCATTGCATAAACCATACTTCTCTGCTATTTTATATCTCTCTTTTGTTCCTTTCGCGTCTTTGTATGGAGGTGTTTACTTCGCTGCTAAAGTCACATTTAGATTAGTAAGACAAGTGAAGTAAACACGCACGCTGCTTAAAAAGTCGCTTATTAACCGAAAGAGGTGCTTAAAGTGTCGCTTACTAAGCATACCACCCCTCTATGTATTAATTAAGCGGTACTTTAAGCTTTTTCAGTTTCCGAATGTATCCCTTACCCTTACCCTATTGTTACAGCCTACCTCACCCCACCCCTACTACCCGACCCCCACCCCGACCCCAAACCTCACCCCAGCCACTACCTCCATCCATCCTCGTACCTTACCCCTACCCTACTCGACCATTACCCCACCCCCACCCCACCTCGATCCCACCCCGATCCATACCATACCCTACCTCGGCCCCACCCAGTCCCGACCCCACTCTACCCTACCCCAACCCCCACCCACCTCAACCTAACCTAGGCCCTTACCACCTAACCCCAACCCTACCCCCACCCTATCCTACCCTACCCTACCTTACCTCGACCATACCCCCAACCCTACCTACCCGACCCCGACCCCACCCCGAATCCATACCCTACCTCTACCTCGGCCCCACACAATCCCGACCCTACCCTACCCTACTCCAACTCCAACCCAACCCACCCCACCAAACCTAGGCCCTTACCACCCCATATCGGCCCCACCCCGACCCCACCCTACTAGGGCCCCTCACCACCCCCTACCACATCGGCCCCACCCCACCCTATCCTACCCTGCTCCCTACCCTGACCCCACCCTACCTACCCTACCCTACCACATCGACCCTCACTCCGGTCCCACCCCACCCTTTCAACCCTTACCCTACCCTGCGTTCGGGGTGGGGGCGGCGTGGTAGGGTAATGGGGTCGGGGACCGATGTGGTAGGGGGTAAGGGTTGGGGTAGGGTGGTAAGGGCCTGGGTAAGGTAGGGGTAATGGATAAGGTATGGTAGGAGTATGGTAGGTTAGGGTGGGATCAGGGTGGGGCCGATGTGGTAAGGGTTGGGGTAGGGTGGTTAAGGGCCTAGGGGGTAGGGTAGGGGTGGGTGGGGTCGGGTAAGGTAGGGTGTGGGTAAGGAGGTAGGGGGTATGTGTACACATATTATATTATATATCTGTGTTCATGAATGTTTGTGTGTCTATATATGTATAGGGTTAGTTTCGACATTTTAATATTAAACGGTGTTTTAAACGTTTTGAAGTAAACATGACCTTACAAAATTGCTTATTTTATGTGCCGCTTATTAACGCGGATCTTGATAAGCATCATTTAGTAACCCGTGAAGTAAACATGTCCTATATGTTTGACAGAATCTAGTGAGGTCAGCTTTTGTCATGGACCCACTTGATTATGTTGCTAGCCGCTTTATTTGATTTTCATATTCGGATTTGATTCGTATCGTCTTTTGCCATACGCACTTTCTCCCTTTTTCAAAGGTATCTAGATTGCAAAAAAGCACTCGCAATAAAACCACATATTTTGAATAAAAAAATACGGAGTACGTGGTATATTTGTTCACATAGTATTCATATACTAGTATTATTTATATATTTTGATACTAAAAATAAATTTGAATACATTTTTCTATAAGTTAAGTCAATTTAGCCAAATCAATTACTACGTACAATTTTATTTTATCAATATAAGCAGATTCCACTAATTCATACAGTTTCAAAGTTTCAATATTATAAAATGATTTCTTAATTTTGAGAAATACTTCTCTCGTGGTTCAAAATTTCTTCGATTTTTTTGTGATCTTATGGCAATTTCCTTTCTAAGTAATGCACTACTGTTCTTTATTAAGTAATTACATATTTTTTACTTTATTAATTATATAGTTCTGTCAAGATCAAACAAGATATGAACAATTATAAAATACTAATAGACTTGTCATTTGTCAGACCGGACCAGACTAGTTCAGGCCGGATGAAACAACACTAGGAAATTTCAGTAAATTTTAAAACATCCATTATGTGCATTTTTGACAGACATAAGTCTCTACCTTATAGCTTTTTTACTATTTAAAAGTCTTACACAGCTTTTAGTTATATGTTTGCCATGCCAATTTTTAAGAGTTTTTTGAAAATAAAAGATTATTTTAGATGCCACAGTAATTAACATTAATTACTTTCAACAGCTTTTATGCTAAGCAGAACTAAATCGAATAGTCATCTTTTTATCAAACGGTTACTACCTTTTTCATTTAAGATATTTTCAGTAACTAAAAGCTTCTCGTAACTTTTACTACAAAACTTATGAAAATATTTTTTTCACTTAGTTGTGCCAAACATTTCATATATAATTGGAATTTTTTTTGTACAAAAAGTTGGTGCAAAATGATACAAATGCTATTTTCCTCTATAAAAAGATTCAACAATGGCAAGAATACTACGTATAATGTTTAAATGGACACAAATATGGCCACTTTTTAACTTTCAAAAAATATGACCTGTCAACCCATTGATCCCTCTTCTCTAAAACTTAGCGTCAAATTTCCGCTGCTTTCATCTTCCTCGCAGAACCTGCCCAACTTCCTTCCTCGTGGTTGAACCACCACCGCCCAAATCCAGCACCGTCGTCGCGCCCTTTCCTCCTTCGTCACCCTCCCCTCCCCTACAGATTTCTGTTTCTTTTCTTTCTTCTCTCTCTTCAGTCTTCATCCATGAAGGATAGGTCTCGGATCGCGTGGTCATCGAAGGGTACCGGTGCTTGGTTTTCGTCTAAGGCTTCATCTTAGCAGTGGCGGCGGCTTCAATTTCGACAATGGCAGAGGAGTTGTTTTCGGCAAAGCTAAATCTGGTCGGCTAGGGTTGATGTGGTGGTGGTGCGGTGGTTGGAGAGGGGGCTAGGGTTGGGAAGGTGGGTTTAACATGTGGTTGGCCACTACGTACTAAGGATGCTGGGGATGAGGGATGTGGCAGGTTAGGGCTGGGGCTGAGGCAGGTTAGGGGAGGGGGTAGGGGCTGTGGCGAGTTAGGGGGTTGGGGCTGAGGCTGAGGCTGGGGAGTGCGCAGGATCGCCACCGTCGCCTGTGCTGGATGGTGGTCATTGAGTTTGGGGTGTTGAGGCAGGAGTGGCTGGTGGCAATGTTGGATTGTTGCCGGAAAAAGTCACTGGAAATCGCCATGTTTTGCAACGACATTTACATGAACAACGGCTACAGTGACACAGACGGTGGCTATAGTGACACGAGCGGTGACGACAGTGACACAGGAGGTGATGACAGTGACATAGGAGGTGATGACAGTGACACAGAGTTGGCGACAGTGACACGAACATTGGCGACAGTGACATTTGATAGTGACATTAAAATTGAACAGTGACATTCAAATCTTACAATGACATGAATATGATCTTCTTAGTCACATTTTTATCCTAATGTTGATGTGATCCCATTTTTGGAAATTACCTTTAATTTTGTAATATTTAGATAAAAACCACTACAAATTACGGTTATGAATCATAAAAAACAAAATTAAATGGTTTTGTAAAGATGTTTGCAAAACATCAAACGGTGTGCGATTAGGCAGTAGCACTACAAGACCAAGTCATGAGCGACACGGAATAACTCGTGCCGTCCAGCCGACGATTACGGGTTATGCATTGTGGTCCCCTGGAAACCCCTTTTCTCTCTCTTTTATTTTTTGAACTTTCTGTTCAGTTTTTCACCCACAATTTTCATTGCTAACCCCCCCTGCTCTTTTTTAAGCTGCCCAGACACCTTTTTCCCAACCTTAAAAAAAGACCAAACATAAATCTTCTCTCTCTCTCTAGATTTCCTCCTTTCTCTCTCTAATCTCTCCCATGGCGTCCACCCGTGAGGGTCACTACAGAGGAGTGCGAAAGCGACCATGGGGCCGCTACGCCGCCGAGATACGCGACCCGTGGAAGAAAACCCGGGTTTGGCTGGGCACTTTTGACACCCCCGAGGAAGCCGCCTTGGCCTACGACGGCGCCGCCAGGTCTCTCAGGGGAGTCAAGGCTAAGACCAATTTCCCTCCTCCACCTTTCGTGGGGCCGCCGCCTGCTTTCCCGCTGGATCTAAACCTTCCCGGCGATCACGGCCTCCGCGGCTGCTGGCCTCCGCCGCCGGGCCGGCGCCTCATGATCGGAGAGTTTCTCCAGGCCGGGGTGCCGTTCAAGGATATGTGCATGAACATGAACGTCGCCGCTCCTTCTCCTCCGGAAGCGGTTGTTAGTGCGGCGTCTTCCTCCGCTCCTCCGGTACCGGACAACGGCGGCGCGGCGAACGTGTTTGCTATTGTCAGACGTGGACTGCCGATTGACTTAAACGAGCCGCCGCCGTTGTGGATTTGATCTTTGTTTAAGATTTTCGTATGCATTACTCCGTATTTCTTACTTGCCATTTTTCATCTTCTGGAGGGAGATCGGATATTTTCTGAATATGGATGTGATTATCAAGACTTTTCTGTATATATTTTTATTGCAATGAATGATGACGATGATGACGATTTTAAATCAGGTTCTTTAATCCTCTAGATATTCTCTTTTCTTTAATTAACTGCCCCATTTTCTCTATTCAATAAAGCGTACAGATGTTTTTGGAGTACTTTATACAAGACAAAGTACTACTCATTGCTGATACCATTGTTACATGCAAATGGAAATCCATATAAGAATTTGCATGTCTGCATATTTAATTTAATTTTGAGTAATGCTAGAGATAATAAATTAAACAATTCGATATATCACATTTTTACATTATTTTAAGGTAAATGATGCTAATAATTAATATGAATATTAGGTGAGATGAGAGGCAGGCAGGGGCCTCGGCTTCTCCAATTTTTTTTTGATGTATATACCTCCGAAAGATCTTTACATTTTCCATTTTTAGCAGTACCAGAAAGATCTTTACACTTCCTTATAGGGATGGACCTGGGCCGGTCCGGTTCCGGTTCCGGACCGGGCTCGGGCGGTTTTTTTTGCAAAATGTTGGGCCCGGAATCGGCCCGGGTTAAATTCATTTTATTTTTTGGTTTCTAATTAACACCCAACCCCGCCCCCCGCCCCCTTCACCCCCACCCCCCAAACCCCCCCAAAACACCCAACACTGACCTAGAAAAGCAAAAAAATTGAAAAAACAAAAAAAAATTGAACCGGCCCCGGCCCGAACCGCCCGGGCCGGTTCACCAAAAGTTGGGCCCGAGCCCGGCCCGCCCGACCCGCCCAAATGGGCTAAAAGCCCGGAACCGGCCAACCGGTCCCGGTCCGGTTTGGGCCCAAACAGTAACGAGCCGGGCCGGTTCCGGGTCGGGTCGGTTTCGGGTCGGGCCGGCCCGGTTTAGTCCATCCCTACTTCCTTATTTGTCTTATTTGGGAAATAAATCTACACAAAAAAGTGTTAAACAGTGCCAAACAGTGTCAAACAGTGTTTATTTCCTTAAAAATTGTGAAGTCAAAATGTCAAGATCTTTTGTAACTGGAGGGAGTACAATTTAAACTTTGACCCTCTGAATATAAATTATTTAAGCTTTGGCTCACCTAACATGTCATTTCTAAAAAAAGGATGACACCCCAACCTTGAGGACCTTTCAACCCCGATCGGACGGTACGTTTGGAGGATTTAAATTGGACTATAATTCGAATCTGACTAATAGAGAGTGAGATTCTATCTCTGATACTTACAGAGACCCTATGCATATTTTAGCATAGTAACCTTTCATCGCTGTTGTTGGCAATGGCGGAACCAGGACTCTAGACTCACAGGGTCTCATTAACAAAGAAATCATATATATCACGAATTCAACAATAAAGAAAACTATAAAATTTAAATAAAACAACTCATGAAATAGTACCTTAATTTTGATTAGCAACTGGAGCGTCAAATGAAGGAGAAATATTTGAAGATGGCAATTTATGTCTTCGTGGTGCCATACTCTGAAATCGCCTCATAATGTCTTCATTCTCAACTTTAACAAAAATATCTTTCTCAATGTAACACACCATGCTATCTGTCAAGAATTCTTCTCCAATCTTGTTGCGCATCAATGAAGAACCATCAATGCTCGGCCCTTTACTACCTTTGGGAACCTTTGAAAAAAATCGTAACATAGAGATTCTTTCTCAAACAACCTAGAAACACTACAATTAAAGCGATCATAAGAATTAACAATTAATAAATTATTAATTTAGAAATACTACAAAAAATTAAAATTAACAGGTATAAATTAAAATTAACCTTTAACAAATAATTTTCAACCCTACAACATTATCATTTACTAAATACCAACCAATACATTATACAAATACTATCAAAAATCAACAAATAAAAAGAGATTTATGGCTTACCTAGCGGCTGGCGAATGTCTGAAACTCCAAAATCCGAATGGCCTGCTCGAGTCTCGACTGCTCGTCTGCTCGGAGTTCTGTCTTCTGTGCTCGCCTGCAGGCTGCTACGACTGTTGGGCGACGGCCGACGACCTCTATTCTCGAGTCTCGACTCTCGACCGCTCTGTGCGACTGTGCTGGACTGCTCCGTCTGCTCGCCTGTTCCGCTGCTAGTGTGCCGTGTGCGTGTTTAGACGGAAGTGCCGAAGAGGGCCAAGAGGGGCTGAGACGCAGGGTGGGCTTTGGGCTAGCAGGCTGCAGGGGCTAAAATATTAAAATTTAATATTTATATATATATTATTAAAAAAAAAAACTGGAGGGGCTGGGGCACCTCCAAGCCCCATGCTCCTTACGCCAGTGGTTCTCGGGATTCAAACCCGGGATTTAACCTTTGTGGCACTCTCTCACTAACATGTCATTTGTGACTCCACCACTAATGCGAGGTGAGTTATGTTGGACTTGTTATTTTGACTTAATTGGTCATATATATATTTGGTCTTTATTGAAATAACTGCTTCATTTGATTTTTATATGAAAATAGAATACAGATTTTGATATAGATGGAGTAAGATTTTGTGATATACGTATGTTTGACTGCAATTCATTTTCATTTTACTCTTATTTTTTACCGAGTAGGAGTTCATAAATTCAATATGAGCTAGCTCCATTGTTTATGTTCTACTAGTAATATTTTATATGTCGGGTGTCTTCCAACATATCAACTTGGTTGGATTTTCTTCATCAAAATATCTTTAGTTGTTGATTATTATGTGAAAGAATTGAAATAACAATATTGGATCCAACTATTTATTAGATTTTCTAAACGCCTCGTTTGGATTAATGATTAACCCAAAAACAAGATTCCGATAGTTAAAATTTTCCGAATTCGAAAATGATGCACCTTTCCCGAAACTAGAACGTGTACAAGTAGTAGATTTGACCGCTCTTATTGAAAAAGAGTTACCGACCAACACAAAATTAATAAACAAAAATGCAAAAATACTTAATCATATCCCGGAATGTTCCCGCTTTCTTTTTTTGGATGTTCCGTTGGAAAGTTCCCATTTCTTTAAATGGAAAGTTATCCTACATCAAAACAGGGTCAAACAGTGCAAAACAATGTCAAACAGTGTCGAAACAGTGCCAAACAGTGTCGAAACAGTATCAAAACAATAAAATTTACCCCCTGGTAAGTTTATTTCCTTAATATATGTGTAGGTCAAACCGGGAACATTCCAACGGGATGGATGGAGTAATTTATAAACAAAAAATTCCACTTTTGATCCCATGACTATTATACCACTTTCACATTTAGTCTCTTACTTTCAGATTGTCCACATTTAATCCGTGATCATTATCCCCTCACCGCCCCTCGTCCTTGCGGCCAAAATTCCGGCAAATTTAGTCAACTTCTCAGTCTCAGAATCAGTCCTTGCATTAAATTTGTTTTTTCATACCTAAAAGTTGCATTAAATTTGCCGGAATTTTGGTTGAAAGGACGAGAGGTGGTGAGGGGATAATGATCACGTACTAAATGTGGACAATCTGAAAGTAAGAGACTAAATGTGGAAGTGGTATAATAGTCATGAGACCAAAAGTGGATTTTTTTCTTTATAAACCGTCTAGATGACAATTTTAATATGTCAGGAGTACGTAATACGGACTACGGAGTATGACTGACATGAGAATTTGTACAATGAAGTGTGGTGGAGGAGGGATGAGGGAAATGAAAAAAAAGGATGACACCCCATCCTTGAGGGCCCTGCAATCCCGATCGGACGGTACGTTGGGAGGATGTAAATTGGACTATAATCCCAATCTGACAGATAGAGAGTGGGGCTCTGTCCCCGGTACTTGCAGAGGCCCTATGCATTTTAAGCATAGTAACCCCTCATCTCAGTTGTCAGGATTCGAACCCGGGACCTAACCCTTGTGGCACTCCCTTGCTACCAGTTGAGCTACGCCCACCGGTGGATGAGGGAAATGAATGAAGAGAAAAAAGAAGACCAAGGCAGCAGAAGATAATACTTCTGAAACATTGATATCTTCCGGTTTAAAAGTAGGTGAGATTAAAAATAGTGAAAGCAGATATAAATTATCAAGGTATAATAGGAAAATAATGAAATATTGTGATCGAATGAAGAATAATTCAAAAAAGATAGTTGCAATAATGTATTATTTTCAAAATTATTGAGGGTATGATGAGAAATTTAGAAATAGGAAGATGTGAATGTTACGGTTGAAAAAAGGAAATAAAAGAGAAGATATGATTGTTACGGAGGGTTCCAACCCAGGCCGGTACCAGGCCTTGAACCCAATACCCTAGTCCTGCCCCAATCCGTCCTGGATCCCGGCACGGGCCCGGTCCATCCCTAGGGAATAACGGTTATTGTGATTTAATTGGAATGTATAACCTTAGGCTAACCGCAACTCAGCTTTGTCAATAAATTAAACTTTCCATAACTTTATACGTATTCGATCAGTCAATTAAGTTTTCGGTGCAATCTAGCACCATCAGTATATTCAATCATCAAAGTTATTCTTAATTAAAACCTTGCTTTTATTTTTATACATCAATATCTTTTCAATTTTTTGTGAACAATTATGATTTTTGTAGTCAAATATTTTGATGTAAAAATAAATAAGTTTAGAGTTAATTTTTTGTTTTGTTAATTTATACCTATTCAAAAAAAAAATAAGTGAAAGATGTTAAACACTATTTTAATCATGAGGTCTTAATTTTACCATTTGAATCTAATAGAATTATTAGAGGCTTAGTATTGTACTTTACATTAAACTCTCTTTAATATAAATATATCTGTCATCGCTCCTTAGAGAGTAACCTTTCCCATTATTCCCACATGGTATCAAGAGCACATTAATTTTTTCCGATCCTCTCTCACTACAACTCGGTGCCGCGAGCTAACCCTAGAGCTGCCGCCGCCTATCCTCCTTCGGCCGCCGTCAGCTCCCTCTCGGCACCGCCAGCCGCCGCAGCATGTCGACCACAGCTTCCGCAGCCTTCAGCACGACGGCACACACGGCCCAACCTGCCTCCACTGCAGCGGCCTCCATCATCACGACCTGCGCTCCTACGTCTTTTGGATCGCTGCTGGCACTCACGTCCGTCTCATCCGACGCGACGTTCTCCTCCAACTTTGCATCACCAAGTCGGGTCTCTATGCCATATTCTCTGTTTCAGAATGTCCCAACGGTGTTCCCTTGGTCGGCTCCAATT